ATTGGTTCTTGGCAGCAGACAAGGCATTGGGTCAGTTTTACTCAGTTTTTAGTGTTTACTATATAGTCTTAACTCTGTTCTAAGATATATAAAAGTCTAAGGATGTAAAAGCTTAAGTAAGTTCTGAAGATCTCAGAAAATGATTTAAGATATATAAATACAAGTTGTAAAGTTATAAAAATGATAAAGGTATATAAATAGTTGGGGATATTTTAGATTTCTATGTTATTGTTACACTGAGATTTCAAAGATTTAGAATTTTTTTTTATTGGGTTCTACATTTTTCTCTGCTCCCCTTCCTCCCCGCCCCTCAAAGGTTTAGAAATTTAACATTCATCAATGGAGTTCTGATAAGTGGATGGAGCACTGACTACTTACTATTTGGTCACAAGCTCAAGATTTTAAATTTACTTTGGTTATCTTCCAAGTATAAACTTAAAGGTGCTTTTAATTGGGCTAAAATCTCTGTCCAGTCTATATATTTGACTTTCTAGAGAGAAGAAAAGATGCTTTTGCTTTTTATAATGTGGATTTCAGTAAGCTTCAGGAGACAAAGAGGTAGTAAGACTTGGATTCACAACTCACAGACCAAGTGCACGCTAGATGAGTATAGCCTATGTTTCTGCCCCTGTCTTCTCCGGAGAATGGGATCCTTCCCCTCGTCTTGAGACTCTTCCCTTTCCCCAATTCCTAGGACTGTAGGGTTTAAAGTTGTAAATGTAAGGTTTCCCTTTAAGTTCTTAAATTTTAACTCCTGTCCCTGGCCTATATTTGTCGAAATATATTTCCACGTGGCTGACACCACCCAGCGATCATTTGTGGACTGCAAACTGCTGAGCGCTGGACTTGCTGAAAGCTGATGTAAACCAGTTTAGCTGATGTGACTGCTCCCTGTCTTTTCATCTGGGTAGCTAACCAGATGCTTCTAATGAATGCCCCATTGCCCAGCCTCTGGCTAGTCTTTCAGCCTTCCTGGTCTCTGACAGGGATTCCCTAGTTTCAGCTGCAAGTATTTACAGAAGAGAGTATATCATCTCTTGCTTCCCCCAAACAGGCTGAAATGCTAAGTCAAAAAAAAAATTTCCTACCATAGGAGACAAAGTGGCTACCTATGATGCCAATTGGCATACCAGAAAAGTGGGCTCAGGTTTAACTATAAGTAGATTTATTAACTGAAATAGTTCTGCAATGTGGTAGGACACTTGGCCAGCTTTATGTGGAACAAAGAGGTATTATATGGCTTTAAGGAAAATTGTTATTTATATACAAGCCATTCATGATTATAATCTGGTTGGACTCAAAGAAATATTGCCAAAAGGGAAACTGAGATAAAAAATAAATGGCTGGTGCCCATTTCCAGGCTCCTTCTATTAGTAACTGTGATGTTAACCATCCAGGGCCTTTGGCCCTTCTTCTGCTAATTATTGTTGGTCTTATATCGTTGATGCCTCAACTAGATGATAATTCCCATCTGGGTTCCATTGAGTTGATGGTTGTTAGATCCAAATATAAACAAGTACTCATCACAGAATCAAGAATTTGATCCAGGATACAAATCAAGGTGGGCAGGGGGGGGGGAAGGGGTATAAGACCCAAATGCTAACCTGTAAGCCTGTCTTGCTCAGGGCCCAGGTAATATCTTGAGATGCTATGAGTTGTCATTCTTGGAAAACAACAGCTAAGCCAGATGGGAAACAATCGTGTCCACATGGGTTTGTCTGTTAAAAAGTCCTAGAATATATGTTTCAGGGCTACTCATCTGGGAATTCCAGAGAGTGGACTTAGCCAGAGTTGATCTACCTGGTCAGTATTTAATATTTAATTAAAGCTTGGTTCAAATTTAGCTCAAAGTGGTAGAATTGGTTCTTCTCTTACAATCTCATGACTAGCATGATCTTCATCCCATTATTTCCTAAACCCTTCATTCATTCACACATTACTTTTATGCAGTAAGCATGTCTCAAGTGCTATTATTCATTGTTCAGTGGTCTGTGAACACAGTGAATAAAGTGACTAACAAAACCTTTTCTCTTCCTTTGGAGTTGACTTCCTCATGGTGTGAAAGACAGCCAACAGTAATAAGGAAGAAAAATGTTAATTATTTGAGGGTCTGTCATAATGGAAAGTAATGGAAGTCAGAGGAGAGCCATGGGGAAGGTTCAGAGTTACATTTTTAAGGTGAAATGGTCAGAAAATGTTTTCATGTTTGCTTGCTTGCTCGATTGTTTGTTTTCTCAGGACACAGAGAAAGAAGTGTGTACAATCAGGTGGTTGGGGAGGTGGAGAGGATCTGGGAGGAGTTGTGGGGATAAAAGCATGATCAGAATGTATTGTGTGAAAAATAATTTTATTCAATAAAGAAAGCAAAACATGGTGAGAAGTAGAGATGTGACTGTAGTAAAATGATTCCTGGGGACAGGGACTAGTGTGATCAAGATCCCAGAAGTCACAGTGTCTGCTGTTTTGATTGTCTATCAAGGAAGTTGCATGGCTAAAACAGAATGAGTCATAGAGATTGTGGAAGGATTAGATAGAGAGAGGGAGGGAAGGGAGAGAGCAGGGAGGGGAGGAAGATAGAGAGAGGGAGGGAATAGAAAAAGGAGGGAGGAGAGGAAGGAGAGCAGGATCATCAGAGGCTGCAACAATAATGCATGCTGCGATACATCATTTGTATTGCAGAAGCTTTCAGAACTGTGGCATGAGGGGGCCTCTATTTTAACAGGGTTACTGACTTATTTTGAAAATTGACCATGGTCAGGGGAAGAAGCAGCCCAGCCAGCGGGGCCAGCTCAGAGACTGTTGACTTCCTCTGGCAGATGCTCTTGTTGTGTTTTGCTTGGTTATGTGATAAGTGCCTTAGAAAGGTTACAGACTGGTAAATGGCAAAGTCTACTGAAGCCACAAGCACAGGAAGAGGCAGTAGATGCCTCCTGTGTTGAACAAATTTCAGAGCTAAAATGCTCAGTCCTGTGAAATTTTCCTAGACTCTAATTTATGTCCCTACTAGGATCTATTCTATCACTATTTCCTGTAGAATGGAATGCTACGTGTTATAAGCCCTTTGTATTAAGCTACTGAAGTTCTCTCTTTGCATGATACTTTTTCTGTATGTAAGGTTTCGGTCTCTGTTATGTTAAAAAAAAACAAAACAAGTTCATCCTCCATATTTGCCTGCTTTCTCAATATCTCTTACCACTCTCTGACTAGTTGTACGCAAGTACTTTCCTTGCTGGTTGCCATAGTCTGCATATTTCCCATTTACCCCCTTAGCCTCTGCAGTTGGGGTACTGTCTATGCCTGATTCCCTTTATAAAAGTTGCTCAGATCAAACTCAACCATGACTCCATATCCTTCTTCATGCTGCTGTGTCCTGAGGATGTATTCAGATCCTTACCTTCTTGGAAGATACTGACTTTTATGTCTCCATTTTCTTACCTTCTGAATTGTTAATTTTCCTTATACTTATTCTATGTCCATCCTGTGTCCTTCATGACTATTTCCTCCCACACCCCCTTGCTTGACTCATGAGGCTTTCCACTTTGTATGAACACACTGTTCCAAGTAATATCAACATGGGTTAACTCACTACTTTGTTCCCAATAACCTTCACATCTCCGTCGTTTTTCTCTGACTTTGATCTTCATATTTTTCCTTATTTCTTGATACTAAATGCTCACAGGCTACTTAAATGTAATTTGTCCCAAGTTGACAAGTTTTCTTGTAACAAATTTCCTGATAATCATGACAGACCTCTGGATAGTATCACCAATGCTTTCTCTTTCTTTTTTTTTTCCTGCCATATATCACAGTCAATTGTTAAAATCCTTTCAGTTTCCCACAAATTGTCAGATTTGGTTGTATGCTGTCTCTTTGTTTACACCCTGTTACCTAGACTCAGGGATCTCTGCTGCCCTCTAAAGCTGAAAGACATCATCCTGAACAGGAAAACTCCTGAGAGGACGAGGAGGCCACGGGTGACTCCAGAAGTGAATTTATTCCCTGCAAATTAATTTCCATATTAAGAGGAAAAAAAATCACAGGGTAGGGGGCTGAGTGGTGAAGGATAAGACATTCCTAGGAGCTAGGCATATATTAGACACTTTTTAATTGCTCATGATTCAGCAGAACATCTAATTATGGCTGTAGCTGGTAAATATAGTACTATTTTTAACTTCACATCTTACAAGCCATACTTCATGCTGACTTTGCTTTATATTGTCCTCTTGCTAAAGAGACTATAGGATCCTATATTTGAAGATTGGCCACATCTTTTTGCTCTGGTTTCTCCTCACATGTAGCTGGCCATTACACCGGTCTCAATGACAAGTTAGAGAAGACACGGTAGCATATGCTTGTCTCCACTCATCTCTAGCAAGCGGGCAGCACCGTTATCCTATGCCGAGCTTTATTACAACTAAAATCATAACTAAATTTTTATTAATTTTCTCAGGTGGAAGGTTACCGTAAGAAGTTATTGGAAAGAAAAGGAGATAACAGAAAGTACACTAGCTAGAGCTACACACACAAAAAATTTAGGTTATAACCCAGATCTGCCACTGAGTTGATGTGTGACCCTAATGGAATCATTTAACTTCGCTAAGCCCCAGATTTCACATCTGTAAATTGAAGGTAATTGCATTTGCCCTAATTTTGAGAGCTGAGAAAAATCAAATAAGAACCACAATGCGCTTGGTAGAGCCTAAAGCCATCTTGAGGACTCCTTATAAAGGTCAGAAAGCAATGTGTATGGGAGAATCAACGTGCTGGGCACAGAGGGTAACTCTGATTAAATTGAAAAAAAGTCTTCTAGAGATTCAGTGATTTGAATGCAGCGTATTTTAATAATACACTTAAAATTCTATGATCTTCTATGCTGTGCATTAATTCTTTTACATGAAGATTAAAAATGTAGAGTCACACTATGAAAGATTAAACCAAATTCAAGATTGCATGCATAACTCTAGCTGCGAAGATGTTAACAAGTCCGCATTAGTACTTACCTCCCTGTGGAAAGAACTGCGAGTAAATCTCCTTGAAGGTTTCTTCATTAACAACACCACTAGGGCATTCCTAGGGAAAGTGGCAAGAAGTGATGTTAGCAAAGTCTTCATAAAAGGGATTTTATAATTTTGAATAGAGTTGACTGCTATGCAAAGATGCATGAAGAAAATTAATCATCATTACTACACACACACACACACACACACACACACACAGGGGTAGGGAGGGCATAAACTATTTTTCTCATGTATTCAAGAAACAAAATCTTGAAACTAAAGGTTTAAATATTTTTTCATATGAAGCACCGCCCTCGTTTGCAGTCTATTGCTGTGATCCATGACGACTTTAGGAAGAATGGGTTAATTTTCTCTTACACTCTATCATTGAAGGGCATTAAGGCAGGAACTCAAGAGAGGAACCTGGAGGCAGAAAATGAAACAGAAAAAAATGGAGGAGTTTTGCTTACTGCACACAAGGTAACCAGCTGAGTGGTCAGCTCCATTCGTGGCTTTTTCTTTTCTTTTTTCCCCTCCTTTTTCTTTTTGTTTTGTTATTTTACATTACAACCACAGTTTTCCCTCCCACCCCTCCTGCTGCTTCCCCTAGCCTCCCCTCCAGTCTTCCCCCTAGCAGGTGGTGCTTGAGGAAGCAGAGGAAGAGCTGACATAAATATGATATAAATACACTATATATATTTGAAGTTTAAAAATACAATTAAAAAGTAGTTATTACTGAAAATAACTAACAACCCTTGTAAGGCTTAAAATAGTCACCACTTTGCTAATAAGCTTGTTTCGCAACTGTGAGCTTTGTTTATTCCGATAAGCCAATTAGGTCTTCATTTGTAATGAGCTTCCTTGGAGGGATTTTCAGTTTTCTCATTTGTTCATGTGAGAAATATCGCCTTTCGTATACAAACAATTTAGACTGATAGCTTTGATGTGAGTTCCTATTTACAGAATCTGTCAACATATTAAATCAATCAATGAGAGGTAGCTAGCTTATCTTCATTGCGGTAGAGTAGATCAGAAAATACAGTCAGAGAGGAAGATGTAAATGAGATTGGGACTTTCCACATTATTACAATTATTTTTAAATTAAAGGAGTTCTATGGTATCGGCAATGATTTCAAGATCTTAGAATACTGGAACCAAGGAAGGAGAAACAAACATTAAAAAAGAAAAACAGGCAAACCAAAGCATGGCTCATTCCATGTGCTGCTTTTTCTGTGACCTGGAGCCCAAAAAAGGCTGAGCCTTATTTTGGATGTTTCAGTGAATGTGCTTATGAACGCAATTTACACTTAAATATTGAGCTTTTCTGAAGGAATTCATCTTTTGCCATGCTGGTGAGAGTCACTCAATCTCCTTGAGTCTTGGAAAGAACAAACTCCAACAGTCTTAAGCAGTAGGGGTCCCTGGTAGGCTGCTGTCGACTTCAGCTGCAACATGGGCACATCTTTGCCTCATAAAGGATGCCTTTTTATGTTGCAAACATTCCTTGATTGCATAGCCTGCTGGCTTCCCAGCTCAGAATTTGTACTGGCAAGACTACTATGGTATTTTAGCAGTCAGTCAGTCAGTCAGTCAGTCAGTCAGTCAGTCAGTAAGTCAGTCAGTCAATCAGTCGATCTTTTTTCTTTTCCTCCTTCTCCATTTCCTTCTCCTTTTCTGTTTCTCTCTCCATCCCACTCTCCTCCCTCTTTCTTCCATTCTCTCTCTCCGTTACTATCTTCCTCTTTCACCTTTTGTATACGTGAACATATGTCTTTATACACAAATATAAAATTCATTTGTTTTTCTTATGGGAAACCATGGCTAATATATAAAAGAGTTCAAACCAACACGTGCAACTTAGAAAAAATAATGAAGTAGCATATGAATACTCAATCACTCAAAAGTTTTGATTAAATAGCTCTTGTTGGCACTAGTGGACGGCTTATAAGCACAAATGAACACGTTGTGGTTGGACTTCTCGCACATGTAAATTGGGATTCATTAGCTACTCAGCCATGAGCCATCTGTTTGTGGCCATGAAGGGAAAGAAAACGTTTGGCTGTCTGCCATCAGGTGAGAAGTTTTTGCACAGTCAGAATTGGAAAACATCCTTCCAGCAAAAGTGATGCTGGCAAAAGACAAGGGTCAAATACGAAGGGCTGTCTATATTCTGTAAATTGTCAGTTACCTTTTGTCTTGAGGCATACTTGATGAATGTATTTTATAATAAGAAAGGATTGGTAAAAATTGATTGTCTCATAAATGCTTGTTTTGCTCATATGTTTTTGTCTGGTGAAATAATTTTTCAGCAAATGAAATGCTTCGTTAATTTTGAGGGCAGTAGGCCTCACCAGGTAAATTTTTATATCCATTTCATATTCATTATGTTAATTTTCATTTATAGAAATTATGCGTTTATACAAAATCTAGGCTCTGGGACTATAGTAATAAGCAAAACAATGCTCTTTTCCTATCTGACCCCAAGATTGTTATTCCTTTTTTTAATTTTGCAAAAATCAATGAGGCCTATTAGGGCTGCCAATACAAGTGTGTGACCATCCACTGAAGTGTGTTAGACCTCTTAGCGACTATACCTTAAAGAAAAATAACACTCCCTTTCTTGGGAGATATCAATTTACGACAGCTCTTCAGCTAGGGAAGTGGGATTTCATGCCCTCTTTCCCTATCCATGCTGGCATTTTGTCTTGCTGAGCTTCCATAGATCTTGGGTATAATACCACAACAGCTCTGAGTCCATATATACATTAGCGCTTCGTGTCTGAGAAACACCATGTCCTTGTCATCCTCTACTGCCTCCCACTCTTATAGTCTTTCCATCCCTTCTTCCACAATGATCAGAGAACAGCATAGCCGTCACATTTAGTGGTTGTGTGTGTATGTGTGAGATACTTTGCAATTGCTTATTCTCTGTATCTTTTTAAGTTGTGGGTCTCTGATTATTGCTGTCTATTGCAAAAAAAGACAGATAATTTGAGATGCAATAATCTGCATGTTTAACAAAAAGTTAATAGGAATTGGTTTAAAAGTAATAGTAGTAGGTTTTCCCCTAGTAACCATGAACTACCTATCACAGGAGCTATCTCTTTACAAAGCTAGGCATAGATGACATTTTGTGGAGCACGTCATAAATTCAATCAGGAAGAGTATGGCCACTCCCATAACATTTGTACTATTATTGCATCAGTGAGCACATCTTGTTAAGCAGATTGTTATTGTAGCTGATATGGTTCACAGCTGGATAAGATTAATAACCGCTTTTCTCTCCAATAGCATATATAGCAATTTCTAGTATAATGAAAACTGGTTAGTAGAGTTTAAATTTCCAGGTCAACATAGCTTGGTTTATTCATGTTCTATAACTCAAGCATATGATGTCTTCTGCAATATTGTCTCATGTTAAATTATGGAAGGTAACTAAGAACATTGTAAAGTAGCCTGTAATATTGGGGGGATGTCTGTGTGACCTCCCTGACCAACAGCCTCAATAGAGGTGAACTATTCCTGACATTTGACTTACTATTTGTTAGTCTATGGCAGCCATTAATGGTTATGCGCCCCTCGAAAATGGTAACTACATTTAAGTTCTTTTTACATAAGCATTACTGTATTGTAGGAAACTTCTCCAGTAGTAGCAGTATTTCCTATGACCTTTTCTTGTTAATTATTTCTTCCTTTATCATTTTCTCTAACTTCCAACTCCATTTAACATACCAATTGAGCTACACTCCAGCCCTCAACAAGTTTTATTGAGTGACTTTATTTTGTAAGATTTTTAAAATTTACCTTATGTGTATAGGCATTTTGCCTGCATGTATATATGCATACCATTTCCATGCCTGTTGCCTGTGGAGATCAGACAATGTCACTGAATACCCTGAGACTGGAGTTACAGATGGTTGTGAGCAACCATGTGGCAGCTGGAAACCTAACCCAGGTCTTCTGCAAAAACAACAAGTGCTCTTATCTCCTGAGGCAATTCTCCAGCCCCACTAAATGCTTCTCAAATATCTCATAGATCTCCTATTATTCTGAGAATATAGATCCATAAAAGAGTTCTAAATAACTATGTTTTAATTCTTGTGTAAAATAAAGTTCATTAGAACCAAACCTACACTTCTCTCACTCCTTCAATTGTTATGCACTCTTGCTTTGGATACCCTTTTTTTTTTTCCATTTTAGGTCTATAATCAGGGCCACAGCGTCTGAAGAATTAACTGTGGAAATATGCTCTTTTGGAAAAGCATGCAATGTCTAATTGACAACCAGGTTTTCCCATCATGCCTGTAATTGGGAAAGCCACACACAAATAAAGATAATTTTACTCAAAATTGGAGAAATTGATTACACACACACACACACACACACACACACACACACACACGGAGAGAGAGACAGAGACAGAGAGACAGAAAGAGACACACACAGAGAATTGTTTGTTTTTTTTAAAAATAGAAATTGTTGCCTTTAGTTCAGTAAAGACTTTTATCTTCTTCACTGTGTAATTGTTACTCTCATGAGCAGATAGACACTAAAAACATTTATGGCAAAGGTTTGGCATTTGGCTTAGAACTGCTGTAAGTGCTTCTCCATCAAAGATTAAGGATGTAGAGGTTTCCAAAGTGTCTGCTGTTGCATTAATATGTAATGACAAGTGTGTTTTTCACCATTTTTGTTCAAACCAATTACCATGATATAGTTAGACTCCAATAAACATGAAATGTTATTTTATTGTACACGATTGCTGTTAATTTGTCAGTTCTTGATGGGATCTCTGCCCTTTGTGACAATGTAGCTGTGCTACTAATGGCTCATTTGATTATCTTAGCTGTACCGTGACAATGTAATAAACATTGTAAATATATATTGTAAATACTGAACTTATCTTTCTTTCTTTCTTTTCTTTCTTTCTTTCTTTCTTTCTTTCTTTCTTTCTTTCTTTTTGAGACAGTGTTTCTCTGTGTAGTTCTGACTATCCTGAAACTCACCCTGTAGGCCAGTCTGGCCTTAAATTTAGAGATTGCTTCTGCCTCTGCCTTCTGGGTGCTGAAATTA